TTATGATTTAAATCACTAGTAAAATGGTTTGATTTAAATCAACTTGATTTAAATCATAATTTTTAAAGAGCAACAGTCATCTGTCCTTCAGCGGCTCCTCCTCTGACCTGCATGAGATGGCTGGTGATGCGGCAGTGACACAACAAAGAGAGGGACGTGGCAGGCAGCAGGTGAGTGGATGCCTGCTAACAGGTGCTGCCATGATGGATCTGAAATGACAGGTCCTCTTTAATATTATATTTATATGCTGCTTAGAAGGTTTCACTTTACTGCTTGCCCTTCTTTCTCACACTTAGAGCCTGGTGGTACAGATGCCTTTCTCTTCAAACAATCATGCAGATTGTAGTGTGCCTAGATTTGCAAAACAATGGGATAAAGGAATATTCCTGAACTTTGTTTTATGATTGATCTCATGGTTACTGTGAAATTGTGTGAATGCATCAATGCAGTGCATGTTATCTCAAATGGGAGGGAGGATTATATTGAGTATGGGAGATATATAGTCTAAATAACATTACGTTCTGAGAGAGTCAAGGACATTTTGCTTTGCATTTGGTGTGACTGGTAGGCACTTCCAGTTGGGACGGTGCCTGATTGGACCATGTGATGGACATGTGGGTCCTGGGCTTGAACTTTCACTTGGGGGGGGAAAACCTAGAAACTTTCAGATTTGGCTTTTCCCAGATGTGCCAATATGACATGTCTAATAAAATGGAACCTTGAGGAAACTCAAACCTCAGAGTCTTCTTTCATTGGAAGTGTTAATTGGAACTTTGACAACCAATTTATTATTTATAAAACCCAAATTATTAGGAGGCAGACTGGCAATGTGTCATGTTCAAGTTCCCTAATTATGCTTTATTACACAATTGGAAAAGGCTATATGGAAAATGAAGTTGACTTTCTTCTCAGCTTCAGTCTGAACTGAAGTTACTCCATTTACCAAAAATGGTAGTAGGGTGATAATAGTGTTGAGTCAGGGACAACCACAAGGTCCAGTGCGTGCTAGGTGAATACAAAAGCAGTCAAGAGAAGACATTTTGGTCTATAGCACTTATTGTTTGCTTTAAAAACTATGAATTTTTGTAGTCATCTGATACATGAATTATAGATTTTCTTAATTTACAGGAAACCTGATTTACAGCTAAATATTACTGATGTAACTATTAACCCTTCAATGAATTCTTTAATTCTTGTATGTTTTAATATTTGGATAGAAAAAAGATGGATCTTACATTTCCAGCTTTTCATTTATATCTACATTTATTTATATTTTAGTCAATAGGTTAAGAGGAGCCTAGAGAGTAAAATGTTGTTCGTTGTTGCTCCCCTTGACCAGTTTAAGGAAATTACACTGTAACGTGGACTATAAATTGCAAATTAAAATGCAGAATTTATATTATTATGGATTAATGTTTTATTTATGAAATGTGAACTCTTCCTTCAATATCAGGAATCTATGAGATTTTCTCAAATCAGTACTCACTCTCCTCTGTAGCAAGGCTGGTGTGAAGACTGCTATTAGTTAATGGTTAATTAGTGCAGGAAAATTAATTTCTTTTCCCCACTTTCTCCCTTTGCAGGTATTGTTGGTGAAGCAGATGAAAATGGTGAAGATTTTTATCTCTGGACATATAAAAAGCTTGAAATAGGTTATAATGGAAATAGGATTGTAGATGTGAATCTGACAAGTGAAGGGAAAGTTAAATTGGTACCCAATACTAAAATCCAGATGTCTTACTCTGTAAGTAATTTGAATTTATAAATAATAATGGTTACACAACTGTTAAGCTGTAGAAATAGGATGTTGGCAGAACCATGTTTTGTCTTAAGTATTGACCATATGTCATGATGTCAGGCCTTAATCACAATATGTGTCATAGTTCATTGTATGCTTACTCTCCCCACCCTGAGAATAGAATTATCTAAATTCCAACAGGAAGGATAATCTAAAGTGAACTCCCTTATCTCCAGATAAAAAAACCAGAAGCTAAAATGCTTCAAAATGAGATTGTTTTAATCACAGCAATTCTTTTCTTCATTTTTTTCCACGTACATATTTCCCTGGACATTGGGGATGTGGTAAAAAAAGGAATTAAAATTTAAAATTAAAATGGGTGAAGCGTTTCCTCATCAAAGCTTTCTGTCAAATGGTCACCCTGCTATTTATATGTATAGAGAAAGATTGTGCATATTTACTGTTCATTTTGTTTGCCATACCCTCATCCCACATAACTAATTATGTACATTATCCCATTTAAATGTCTAAATCTGGGGCCTGAAAGAACAGTTCTTCTATAGGTTATCTGGAAAAAAGAATTCCATTAAATGATGCTTCTTCCTAAAGCTACCACAGGCAGAAATTCCTTAAGTTCTGTTTATAATAGTCTCAGTGATAGTGGTATAACTCCTATATCATTCCTACTTATATGGTTGGCATTCCTTTTTGGGGTGACCCTTTCTCCCTGTATATTTCAACAGTGGGCGGCATAAAATTGTAAACTGAAACTGCTTTTACTATATCTGGTAGAAAAGAAGATTTTCCAATTTAAGATGCCACTTGGAATTGTCTTTTTGCAGCCCATAATATTGGTTCAACAATACAGATAGTTCTCAATTAACAACGGTAATTTGGACCAAAATTTCCACTGCTAAGTGATGCATTTGTAATATGTGACATCACAGGCCTATATCGTTAGTGATGGAAGTTCTGGGAGATCCTGGTTACTGTTGCTAGGCAAGGACTGTATTGGTCATTAAGTGAGGATCTCATGTGAGCATACTTCCAATTTCCTGCCTGCTTCCCTCTGATATTTACCTTTGGGAAACTGGCAGGAATGTAAAAAAAAAATTACAATCATGTAACCATGCAATGGTTGACATCCAGGTCAATTGGTGAGTGTCTGGATCATATTATGTTACCTCTGGTGAGCTGTAATGGCTAGAACAATGAGGACTGTTAATAATTAATACTTGTTCAGTATTGTTGCCAATTTGAACAGTGGCTTAGTCAGGAAACATTATAAGATGAGTCAATGTAAAATAAATACTATAAAGCTACGTTAACATAATCTTGTAAATCTGAAAGTACATGTCTCCAGCTGTCTCTTTTTACTATCAATCAAGTTAGATCCTTTCTAAGCTTCTTTCCCTGCCCATTACAGGTAGTCCCCAACTTACAACTGTTCATTTAGTGACAGTACAAAATTACAATGGCACTGAAAAAAGTTATTTATGACCATTTTTAACAGTTATGACTTTTCCAGCATACCCATGATCATGTGATTAAAATTAGATGTGTGGCAACTGGTTCACATTTATGATTGTTGTATCCTGAGGTCATGTGATCACTTTTTGTGACTTTCTGCCAAGCAAAGTCAAGGGGGAAGCCGGATTCATGTAACAATTGGGTTATTAACTTAATAACCGCAGTGATTCACTTAACTGAAACAAGGAAGGTCATAAAATGGGGCAAAATTTACTTAATAAATGTCTCACTTAAAAACAGAAATTCGGGGTCAGTTGTGGTTGTAAATCGAGGACCAGCTGTACTCAGTTGTGGGCTCCTCCCATTTTATTTCTTTTATTTATTTAGTTTGTCACTCATGTACAAGATAACAGGAATAAGAATAAACATGAATAAGAACACAGGAAATGGGTACAAATAAATGGGGAAATTAGAACGTTAGGCACGCTAGTGCACTTATGCACACCTCTACTGACCTCTTAGGAATGGGGTGAGGTCAACAGCAGATAGTTTAAGGTTAAGGTTATGGAGGTTTGAGGATATAACAACAGAGTCAAGTAGTGCATTCTAGGCATTGACCACTCTGTTGCTGAAGTTATATTTTCTGCATTAGAGTTTGTATCTATTGTGTACTCGTGTATTATTGCGGTTGAAGCTGAAGTAGTCATTCACAGGTAGGATGTTGTAGCAGATAATTTTGTGTACTAAGCTTAGGTCAGACTGTAGGCGGCGTAGTTGTAGGTTGTCCAAGCCCAAAATTTAAAGCCTGGTGGCATAAGGGATTCTGTTGCGAGTAGAGAAGTAGAGGACTCTTCTGGTCAAATACCTCAGGACTAACAATTCCCTAGCAGCATTTCCCCCTGCCCCTATCTTCCAAATTCATTCTCACATTTCATTACATTGAATGAGTAGTTGTTAGACGAAGATCTCTTGTCGAACATTATATTTGCTTAATTTAATAATAAAAATAAATAAATTTGCTACTGACTTCTAGTAACTTTGGGTAGTTTATAGTTATTTAAAACATTTAAAAACAAAGAATGTTCTTGTGTAATGATATCATTCCTTAAAACTTGAAAGTACCAATGGCTTGCTAGAAAAAAATATGTTAGCAGTTAATGTTTTTCTTAGTGTTATCTGGAATTGGAATTTATTTTGTTGATTTGTAATATACTGTGTCAGATTTTAAAATGTAATTTATCTCCAGGTGAAATGGAAAAAGTCAGATGTGAAGTTTGAAGATAGATTTGACAAATATCTTGATCCGTCTTTCTTTCAACACAGGGTATGCTTCTTTTATATTTCATTACATTGAAACCTATGTACTCAAAATAGTGCCCAGTGATATTTTCCTCAATGCTCAAGGTATTTTTAAATAAATAAATGGGAAGCTAGCATATTGCAAAGCAAATATTTATTTCCCTAGATGTTTGGTGGTATCAAGTAGACCATAGAAGCATAGTATAAAATAATGGGTGGCTACAACCAAATGTTTTATTTGGAACTCTGTCGTCCCCCGTCCCCCCCCCTCCCCCGGGCAAAGACAGAGGTAAGGTAAATGAGAAAAGATGTTGGGAAGTAATCTCCCTAGTTGGTTTAGTGGTAAATGTTAGCTTGGTATAAGCCGTAATTACTTTGGCAACTGTTTTTTTGAAATTATCCATTAGGTACTCATGATGTACAAAATGTATTCCAAATATGTGTCCAAAAGGATAAGGAAACCCCTCATCATAAGATTTAAAAAATGCTAAATAACTCAAGTTTACAAAATTCTTTATAATGACTTAAGAACTGCACTGCTGCTTAGGTCCAAAAATGTACGGTTCAAACCATTTTTATAACTGATTTGAAATTTTAAAAATTGGCTAATATTGGCATTGTCAGTATTATGTCTACCATGAGAGAGAGTGGGGGGAGAAGAGGGAGAGAGGGAGACAGAGACAGAGAGACAATACAGTATACAGCATGTAGTATTCATTTAGTGACCCTTCAAAGTTACAACGTCACTGAAAAATAATAATTTATGACCATTTTTGACACTTATGGCTTGCAGCATCCCTATTATCACATGATTTACATTTGAATGCTTAACAACTGACTCGCTTCTATCTTCATTAATCTGTCCTCATATAAATGAATCTTAAGAGTTCATTTATATATAATGTGATAATATAAATATGCTAAATAAATATTTACTAAATAGTGATACAAAGTACACACTGGAATAACAGGTGGTCTTTGTCAATTTATTTGTTCAGTGAGTAAATCATATATATAAATGGTTAACAGATAGCATAAAATAATCTCAGGTCAGGTTGAATTTACCACAAATAGACCATTAAAAAGGAAGCTACTTTTTGTCATTCAAGTGGTAGTAGCTTTTTCTTCTCCACAGGATACACAGAAATTGGTTACATACATACATACATACATACATACATACATACATACATACATACATACATACATACA